TTGGCTCCATGGCGATTGAACTGTATTTGTGTGGTCCGAGCGCCATTCACTTAATAATGTGCGCTCAGACCTGAGCTATCTGGGGATATGTGAAATGTCTGTGTGTTATGTGTAAAATGTGACTTTATGTATTTTAAAGTGTTTTGTGTCTTTTGCAACCATGTGCTTAATGGAGTCTTGTGTCTGTCCTGGGAGATAATTGAATTACTTATCTCCAGGATAGAAGACTCTGAAACTGGTTTGGGCCAGAAAGCCATGCTTCATTTAGTCACAAAGGACTTTTTACTAACTTTTGAACCCCTTGTCTGATGTGTGCCATTTTTGAATATGTTGTTCCCCTGAATGGATTGATTGTGAATGTGTAATTTTATGTGAATGTGATGTATGGTTTTAGAGTTATGAGAGTTGGGTAGAAAGTATGTTTTAACTGTATGTATAATTGAGTTTCCTCTCAGGATAAGGGGAGGGAATATGTGGGATGTAACTGTGATGTGATTGGTTGTTTTGTAACGCCCTGTGGGCTGTACTATGTTTTGTGGATTGTAATAAAAACCAGGCTGGGTGTGCCAGCACTAGAGTTCCTGTTTTAACCCTCAAAGTGAAGTGTCGTCTCATTATTGGGGGAAGGATTTATTGTATGCTGTTCCAGTTTGACGGCTAGGAGAGTAAACCTATTCGTATGGTTCCTATTCAACTGTCTACAGCATTCATATGCTTGAGAGAAGGTATACGCTTCTCTGGTTCAGTGATTGTGGTGTCTGCTGCAGTGCTTGGAGTCCTCAGGAAGCGCTAGGAGCATCTTTCAACGGAGGTACCCAGTCGGGGTGCCAGGTGGTCCGTTACATTGGTGGCAAGCGGTGGGATGGCGTCCTAGTGCGAGGTAAAGCAGCTCAGAGACACAGTTCGTGGATTTACAAATTGAAGGTGACGCTAGTGTTCATACAGCGTCCCTGTCTACATAAAGATTTGGGAAAACCAGCACTACTTCAGAGATGGAAGGCAGTGCAGTATCTCACTTTGACGCCAGGCTCCAGCAGCGACTACAGGATGTGATGCGCAGTATGGAGTATCCTATCCCAGAGGAAAGAGAGACAGAGTGGAGGGTGGTGCTTCGTACCGATCTCTGGAAGGAGGACATCGACGAAATTCGACCCTTCCGGTGCGAGGAAATCCTGACCACTAACCAGCGCCAAGCAGAACAACTAGAGCTGCGGATACCGTTATTGGGAAACCAGCCCTCAGAGGAATGGGTAAGCGAACTGGAGACGCTAGTTGAGACTGAGGTGTGGCTGGATGATTCCTATCGGGCCCTGCGGTGGCATGTTTACCACCTCTACCCATGGCTGATTGAGTACAAGTGTATTGAGGGGGAAGACTATGACGGCCCTGGTTTGTTGTGGATTACTATTGAAACTAGTCTCTGGTTCGGAGACACCGACATTGCTCGCTTCTGGTCCATCCGAGCTGAGCGGGCAGACAACTGGGACCTTACAGAGATCGATGCCATTCAGCCAGATCTATCTTTTCTTGCCAACCGAGAGTGGGAACTAGAACAGGATTATGTTTGCCTATTCCAACGTATAACGCCGCCTGTCTTTGACATGATAGGGCTTATTGACTGTATACCACCGGAAGCATTGAGTTTAGTTCCTCCTCCCCAGCAACCAAGCCTGTTATCAGGAGACTTTGGTACTGTACCACATATGTCCCAACCAGCCCCAGAGATGGGAGACCTTATTGACTTGTCCTGGGAAGACACCCAGCTGGCAGGTGGGGATGGGACCGAGGTCTCTCTACAGGCCCTACAGGGATGCTGGGCAGTCAGCCCAGATCCCCAGCGGCAGTATGTATCCCAGGGAGCTGAAGGTGCTGTACTTCCTCCCCAGCGGCAGTGTGTGTCCCAGGGAGCTGAAGGTGCCGTCCTTCCTCCCCAGCAGCAGTGTGTACCCCAGGGAGCTGAAGGTGCCGTCCTTCCTCCCCAGCGGCAGTGTATATCCCAGGGAGCTGAAGGTGCAGTCCTTCCTCCCCAGCAGCAGTGTGTAAAATTCTGTGGGAGCTGAAGGTGCTGTCCTTCCTCCCTCAGCTGCAGTGTGTACCTCCTAGGAGCTGAAGGTGCCGCCCTTCCTCCCCAGCTGCAGTGTAAATTCTAGGGAGCTGAAGGTGCTCGCCCTTCCTCCCCAGCGGCAGTATGTACCCCAGGGAGCTGGAGGTGCAGTCCTTCCTCCCCAGCGGCAGTGTGCACCCCAGGGAGCTGAAGGTGCAGTCCTTCCTCCCCAGCGGCAGTGTGTACCCCAGGGAGCTGAAGGTGCCGTCCTTCCTCCCCAGCGGCAGTGTGCATCCCAGGGAGCTGAAGGTGCATTCCTTCCTCCCCAGCGGCAGAGTAAGTCCCAGGGAGCTGAAGGTGCAGTCCTTCCTCCCCAGCGGCAGTGTGTATCCTAGGGAGCTGAAGGTGCAGTCCTTCCTCCCCAGCGGCAGTGGGTATCCCAGGGAGCTGAAGGTGCAGTCCTTCCTCCCCAGCAGCAGTGTGTACCCCAGGGAGCTGAAGGTGGGTCCCCTTCCTCCCCAGCGGCAGTGTGCACCCCAGGGAGCTGAAGGTGCAGTCCTTCCTCCCCAGCGGCAGTGTGTACCCCAGGGAGCTGAAGGTGCCATCCTTCCTCCCCAGCTGCAGAGTGTCCTGCAGGGAGCAGAGACCGTCAGTCTCGCACCCCAACCACAGGACAAAATAATGAAAGGGGAGACAGCTGGTCCCCCTCTCCACCAGCAGAGAGAGTGTCAGGGAGAGGAGCCTGATACCCCCTCTCCCCAGCGGCAGTTTACAGTTCAGAGAGAGGAGCTTGTTACACCCTCTCTCCAGCGGCAGCCTAACCCAACAAGGGGAGATGTTACACCCCCCACACCCCCCAATTGCCCACACAGTCGTGGTGAGGCACCTGGACATGGACAAAGTTCTCCTCTACCCAGGTGTAGTAACCAGTTATTGTGGGTGGGCTGTACTGCTGTTTCTGTTTTGTGGGTGGGTTGCTGGACTAACCAGGGCACTGACCGGCAGGAGGTCAGATACCCTGTTAGTCTAGTTGGTAAAGGGGAGAAGTGTGGCGAAACCAACCTCGCCACTGTGAACTGGAGAAGCCTGGTTGCTCGCCTGCTCCCTTTGGACTATGGCCCTGCAGGTTAAACTGTTTATTTCCCCTGCAGAAAGGCTTATTTGTGTGATCTGAGTGCCATTCATCTAATAATGTGCACTCAGATCCCAGCTATCTGGGGATATGTGAAATGTCTGTGTGTTATGTGTAAATGTGACTTTATGTATTTTAAAGTGTTTTGTGTCTTTTTGCAACCATGTGCTTAATGGAGTCTTGTGTCTGTCCTGGGAGATAATTGAATTACTTATCTCCAGGATAGAAGACTCTGAAACTGGTTTGGGCCAGAAAGCCATGCTTCATTTAGTCACAAAGGACTTTCCCTTAACTTTTGAACCCCTGGTCTGATTCGTGCCATTTTTTAATATGTTGTTCCCCTGAATGGATTGATTATGAAAATGTATGTTTTATGTTTGTGACATGTATATTTTAGAAGTTAGAAATATTGTGTAAAAACTGTATTCCTCTGCCGGTGATAATGAGATTACCCATTGTGTTCAGTAATCATATCACCTGCAGAGGGGAGGATTTTGTGTGGGAGTGTCTGGGTGTATTGTACGGATTGATTGGTTGTTTTGTAACGCCCTGTGGGCTGTACTATGTTTGTGGATTGGGAATAAAAGAGACTGTATGTGACAGTACAGGGAGTTCCTGTTTTAACCCTCAAAGTGAAGTGTCGTCTCATTATTGGGGGAAGGATTTATTGTATACTGTTCCAGTTTGACTGCTAGGAGAGTAAACCTATTCGTATGGTTCCTATTCAACTGTCTACAGCATTCTTATGCTTGAGAGAAGGTATACGCTTCTCCGGTTCGGTGATTGTGGTGTCTGCTGCAGTGCTTGGAGTCCTCAGGAAGCGCTAGGAGCATCTTTCAACGGAGGTACCCAGTCGGGGTGCCAGGTGATCCGTTACAAAATTCCTTTGTCTTCAACAAGCCATGTGGTCTGCCCATATAAGGTGATCCTGAATATCCTGTGTGATGATTGGTCTGAGGAATATAGGAGGGGTTCTACTGTATGGGAGGGGATATGCAGCTAACAAAATGCCTCTGCACCATGCTTTCTGTCTCTCAGATATTTTTGGAACAGGAGTTCATCTGAGACCCGATCGGTACTTGAATAAAGGCCTCTTACTTCCTGAATACCTGTGTCCATATCTCTATGTGTGGCTTCTGCGGTTTGTTCCTGTTATTCCTCTGGTAACAGTATATATATATACATGTGTATATATATATATATATATTATATTGTTTCCTATTGTAACAATGCAATGTTTTGTGGACCCAGGACATACTTGAAAACTAGAGAAATCTCAATGTATCTATCCTGGTAAAATATTTTATAAATCATATATATAGAAATCGTAAGATTCTTATCTATGAAGCGGGACACGTATACAACATGTAACAATGTCACAGCATTCAAGTAAATTGATACCTGCTTGTCTCTAAGTTTAGACACTACTTGCTTTGTAGCCGTTTTTATTGAAAAGAATCACTGTATATGAGTAATGTTCCCTAACTGTTATGTCTTTTTTTTCTAGTTTACAGGCTTAGAAGCCTGAAGCCAGAAGCTCCTTGTCATGTATGACCCTTCAACTTCATTGTTTTAAATGGGTTATATGTTCCCTAGTTATTGTGTAGGTTACGTTATACTTGCTTCTTTCTTATCATTTTTGTTCCCCATAATCCATTTTAAGTTATTAATATATGTATTGAATACAAATACAATATTTATATGATTACCAATGTTAAACTGTGCATTAAAGATCAGATTGTGTGTTGATAAATTTAAGGTTATGTGCAAACTGATGTTTCATGAATACTTGACAATTTAAGTAAAATTTATTGAGATAGCAATACAATACAATAAAGGAGCAGATGGAAAAACGTCACAAACAAAGCTGCTTGATGTGCTTCATTTGATTGTAGAGTATATCCCATCTGCTTCAATGCTGCACACTTCAGGTATCTGTATGCATTTACCTTGCCAACTTTGTACTAGTTGATTCTCAGTCTGTATCAATTGATTCAAAAAATAAAATGTTAAATGTTCAGTCAATCAAAAGGAATGCCAGTCTATTCTTCTTTTGATTTTGCATTCATCTATTAGAAGGTAAAAGTTTTATTGGGTCTTCAGAACAGCAATTTAATGCATGAAAATGTGATGGTTGATGGCTCGAATTTGTTAACCTCTTCAATTTAAACATGTGATATGAAGAACTCTGCTAATGTGCAATAATCTGAGCTATGTAATTAGTAGTCAAGATGGAAGTTAAATAGCATTTTTAAAATATAGAATTGTTAAACTCTTAAGCTTCATTTTGTTTGGCAACAAATGCCAGCCACAAAATTAAAATAGCACATTTATTGAATCTTAGTGATACTGTTCCCTAAAATCAGAAGACTACATATATTAAATGTCTAATAACTGGTATTTAATTTAAAAAAACAAAAACGTTTTAGTGTATTTTACATGCCCCTACATTTAAATCATAGACTGTGAAATGTATTGCATTAGTACATTGTAATTTAGCATTTATGTAATTGGTGATTAGATTGAGGGCTCAATAAAATTAGCCCATAATTTAATAGATAAGAAGTTATATTGAGATCAACGATTCCGCATTAAGGTATTGTCCAGATTTATTAATTGACGTAGGAATCCTCGGTTGGGAATGATTCCTCTGCAGTCTTTTACTGTAGTAATGGCTTCTACCAAATTCATGTGTTGATGTATCATAAGGTATGCAAGAACTAAAGTTGCAGATCTGCTTACTCCCACAGCACAGTGGACCAAAATCTTACCTATAAAACAAAACAAAATAACTGTTAACTTAGCATTTTCCTCATTACATTTGGCAATGAACTTCAGCTCAATATGTAAACCTACAAAAGTGTTTACTACAAAGCCAAAAGACTTGTGGGGTATTGTACTGTGTCCCATTTAGTTCTCTGGTTATCTTGTCCCAAATTCCCTCATATTGAATGAAGTAATTTAAACATTACTCACTTTAGCATTCAAAGTGGATTTGTTGTTCACTATTCTGTGGATGATAATGACCACTTGAAGTTATAATGCACAGCGCATTTCCACCTTATTTGATTGCTATTTCCTGTCCTAATGTGTTTTATACCCCACCTCCTATAGACTGTAAGGTCGTTTGAGCAGGGTCCTCTTCAACCTAGCATTCCTGTAAGTTTTCTTGTAATTGTCTTATTTATAGTTAATCCCCCCTCATAATATTGTAAAGCGCTACGGAATCTGTTGGCGCTATATAAATGGCAATAATAAATAAATAACAATCATTTGTTCCTTAGCAGGTTTTAAAATTAGGTAAATTCAACCTCAGATGAACAACAACACACAGTATTACACAGTGTCATGATTTCTTTAATAAAATACATTTTAGGACCTGCTACGAAACAGATGATTGTTATTATGCCTTGATAAGTAAAGTCATAGAATTCAAAGAGGATGTACTTTCTTTTTCCAATTAATGTAGTTACTTTAGATTTAGAGCTAAGCATCTGCTGAGGGCTCACTGTGCCTCTGTTTGTTCTCACTATGTCATGATGGAAGACAAAAGCCACATAGTATCACAAAACGGCAAGCCTTTTGAGGTGTTCCCATTATGCAGTGGTTGGTACCTACCAAAAGTGGTGCAAGGTAGGACAACTGATAAAACCGGGTCATGGGTGCACAAGGCTCTTTGATGCATGTGGGGAGCAAAGGCTAGGCCGTCTGGTCCGATCTCACAGAAGAGCTACTGTAGCTCACATTGATGAAAAACGTAATAAAAAGTTGTGAGAATACATAGTGCATCTAAGGCAAAGAAAATTTTTTTTTACAGTAAGAGCAATAAGGATATGGAATTCTCTGCCTGAAGAGGTAGTTTTGTCAGAGTCTATACAGATGTTTAAACTGCAATTGGATAAATACTTGCAAAAACATAACATACAGGGATATAATTTCTAATTAGTGAGGTAATAGCTGCTTGATCCAAGGAGTCATCTGACTGCTATTTTGGGGTCAAGAAGGAATTATTTCCTAGTTTGTTGCAAAATTGGAAGCACTTCAGACTAGGTTTTTTGCCTTTTTTTGGATCAACAGCAAAAACATATGTGAGGAAGGCTGAATTTGATGGACGCAAGTCTCTTTTCAGCTATGTAACTACAGTTGCAAGAAAAAGTATGTGAACCCTTTGGAATGAAATGGATTTCTGCACAAATTGTTCATAAAATGTGATCTGATCATCATCTACTTCACAACAATAGACAATCACAGTCTGCGTAAACTAATAACACACAAAGAATGAAATGTTGCCATGTTTTTATTGAACACACCATGTAAACATTCACAGTGCAGGTGGAAAAAGTATGTGAACCCCAAGACTAATGACATCTCCAAGAGCTAATTGGAGTGAGATGTCAGCCAACTGGAGTCCAATCAATGAGATAAGATTGGAGGTGTTGGTTACAGCTGCCCTGCCCTATAAAAAACACACACCAAAACACACACCAGTTCTCAGTTTGCTTTTCACGAGAAGCATTGCCTGATGTGAATGATGCCTCGCACAAAAGAGCTCTCAGAAGACCTACAATTAAGAATTGTTGACTTGCATAAAGCTGGAAAGGGTTATAAAAGTATCTCCAAAAGCCTTGCTGTTCATCAGTCCACGGTAAGACAAATTGTCTGTAAATGGAGAAAGTTCAGCACTGCTGCTACTCTCCCTAGGAGTGGCTGTCCTGTAAAGATGACTGCAAGAGCACAGCGCAGACTGCTCAATGAGGTGAAGAAGAATTCTAGAGTGTCAGCTAAAGACTTACAAAAGTCACTGGCAAATGCTAACATCCCTGTTAGCGAATCTACAATACGTAAAAAACTGAACAAGAATGGATTTCATGAGAGGATACCACAGAGGAAGCCACTGCTGCCCAAACAAAACATTGCTGCACGTTTACAGTTTGCACAAGAGCACCTGGATGTTCAACAGCAGTACAGGAAAAATATTCTGTGGATAGATTAAATCAAAGTTGAGTTGTTTAGAAGAAACACACAACACTATGTGTGGCGAAAAAAAGGCACAGCACACCAACATCAAAACCTCATCCCAACTGTAAAGTATGGTGGTGGGGGCATAATGGTTTGGGGCTGCTTTGCTGCGTCAGGGCCTGGACGGATTGCTATCATCGAAGGAAAAATGAATTCTCAAGTTTATCAAGACATTTTGCAGGAGAACGTAAGGCCATCTGTCTACCAGCTGAAGCTCAACAGAAGATGGGTGTTGCAACAGGACAATGACCCAAAGCATAGAAATAAAAACACAACAGAATAGCTTAAACAGAAGAAAATACGCCTTCTGAAGTGGCCCAGTCATAGTCCTGACCTCAACCCAATTGAGATGCTGTGGCATGACCTCTTGAAAGCGATTCACACCAGACATCCCAAGAATATTGCTGAACTGAAACAGTTCTGTAAAGAGGAATGGTCAAGAATTACTCCTGACCGTTGTGCACGTCTGATCAGCAACTACATGAAACGTTTGGTTGAAGTTATTGCTGCCAAAGGAGGTTCAACCAGTTATTAAATCCAAGGTTTCACATACTTTTTCTACCTGCACTGTGAATGTTTACATGGTGTGTTCAATAAAAACATGGCAACATTTAATTCTTTGTGTGTTATTAGTTTAAGCAGACTGTGATTGTCTATTGTTGTGACTTAGATGATGATCAGATCACATTTTATGAACAATTTGTGCAGAAATCCATATCATTCCAAAGGGTTCACATACTTTTTCTTGCAATGGTATTATTATTATTTTGTGCCAATGAAAAATCTCTCTAATTTTTAATAAAACTGAGCTGTTAGTGATTGCCCTTTATCCTCAACTCAACACCTGAAATCTCCCATATCATAGATAACACCATCATCTCAATAAAGTAACACTATAGCGTTAGAACTAAAAATCTGTATTCCTAATGCAACAGTATTCCTGTCCCTACCTGTAGGCAGGTATCCCCCATCCTCCCACCATACGGTGCAAAAAAAATAAATGTAAAAAAGATTTACTTACCTTGTTACCACTTCTTCCCCCAGTGCAATCACAGAGGAGGCATGGTTTCCTCTGGTGTGGTCCAATCAAATGGTCCTCATAGAGGAGCATTGGTGACGTAATGTGCATAAACCACATGTGCATAATGGTGATAAACCAGGTCTGGTCGGGGAAGGGGGAAGGAATCAGAAGGTAAAGGCAACAGTAAATACTGGGGAATAGGGGTAGAATTTCCCAATGGGCTTCCCAGTAAGAACTGTAAAGTATGTATAACCCTCTACCTATGAAGGCGTAGTCCTCCTACAAATAGCAAAAATGTTCAAAGAGTATAAGTTATGCTGAGACACCAAGGGTAGAAAAAGCTAGCCCTAATGGTAATCCTATAACACATAAAACTCAGCTAGTCTCACAAATGCCACAAATCCTCCTGCGCCTGGTAGAACAAATTGCTAAGTCTGAAGACAAACTAATTAAATCATAATAAGTGCTACCCAGTGCCCAAAATAAAAAAAAGTGATTTAGAAACGCTCAACGCGGGTTTCGGTGTGTCTACATGCCGTCGTCAGGAGAGCATGGAACTAGAATCAGACCCTCAACCTCGCAAACAATGCTGAACTTCCATCCCCGCCTGTGTTTGTTTCTATACATCCTCGGAGAACACTGTTCGATGGAATCATCCCCACGAATGAGGTGAACACTATCTGCTGACCGGCTCATGCATACGTTCAGTATTTTGTGTGTTTTCATACTGCCAAAAGAGACCGACCGCTACCACTGATTCTATGGAACTATTTTGGGCAGGAGCCTCGTGTGCGGTCAGTCAAATACTTACCCCAGTGGCATTTCGGCTGTATTAGGATCTGAGTGCTTTTTGCATATACTGTGCATTCAGATCCAGGCTACCCGGGGTTATAAGACTTGAGGGGGTATATGGTTGTTTGCTGTATGTTTTGGGGTGTTATAGAAATTGTAGATTTTTCTGTACCTGAGAGGGAACTGAATTCTCTCTTAGGCACAGAGGATCATGGGAGGGATGACCCAGTAATGTTGTGTTGGAAACCCCTTGCAGGGGGCTTTTGCATAAAAAGGCCATGTGTGACCATGGATAATACAGTTCACTCCCAGCATTCAGTCTCGACTAATGTGTGTGGGGGAAAAGCTATACCTACTCTGACGTTTTACTACTTGGGAAATTCTACTCTTGATTGCTATTATTACTAGAGTGGCTGCAGCAGAGTTCTGGAATGAGGGAAAAGACATTCTTGGAGGCGAAACCCGTGTTCCTAGCCGGGTGGCCGTCACATCTGGTGTCAGTGGTGGGATGGTGTCTTTTCCCAGGAACAGATGCTGACTCATGCAAGTGGCAGAATAACGGATGGAGAACGGATATGAATGGCTTAAACGATCTACACTAAAAGATTTGCTGAAGAGATGAATTGCCAGTAACCGTACGAAAAGAGATTTAATCAACGAACTAATGGAGCAGGACCGAACCAACCCCCTTGCTGAAACAATTTCCATGAACTTGGAGGAAGACTAACAGATGCAACCGTTCGGCTGCGTCTAGCCTTGTTCGGGCCCAACCCTCCAGCGAAAAATCACATTGCAAGTGCTGGGGCACGAGATAAGCGGGAGTACCAGCTATGCTTGGCAGAGATCCATCGTTCAGGAAGCCCTGCAGCTGAAAGCCTCTCCACCCCACCAGAACGGAAAAGGGTTCCGTTCTCCGCCTTCAAAACTTTCCAAGAGGCAGAGGGGGAAATTGATGGATACCTTGCAGACTTTGAGAGGCAATGTGCTTTCCATAAGGTACCAGAAAAGGAATGGGTACCAATCCTGGGGGGAAGCTATCAGGCAAAGCTGCCGAGGCGTTCAGAGCTATACTTGATGGAGAAATCCATCAATACTACAGCATAAAGGAAGCATTGCTCACCAGGTATGCAGTTACCCCGGAAGTATACCCCAGGCGGTTTAGAGAGTTAAGGAAGTCAGATAATGACTCTTATGGTGAATGGGCTTGCTGCCTCCACAGAACTCCATCTCACTGGGTAACAGGGTGCAAAGCAGTGTCGGGAGAAAAGGTGTTGCAGTTATTTCTCCTGTGACATTTTTTTAATCTGCAAATCCCAGAGTATACAGACACTGACAGACCACCACTAAGGTCCCCTCCCAGCGACCCCTCACCAATCTTGACCTCCTTACCTGGGGCTACCCAGGCAACCCAAAGATAGGCCCCCGATACTGCCGATGCCAACAGCTGGGACGTGTGAGAAGCAATTGCCTCCTAGAATCCCCAAGGCCCCTAGAATCCCCAACGCTGCACTATCCCCGGCCACAGCCCACTGCATAGAAACCAAGGCTAAACCTGACGAAGGTGTTACATGACGCTGAACCTGTTCAGGCTGCCTCTCCAGACAACTGGCAACAACACAGGGAATTAGGCAATTGAACCTCTGAGTTTGACAGTAGGTCCGACCCCGTAAGCTTGGGATACCTTAGAGGAGTTTGGGAGAGAGGCCCGGGAAGACTCCACACTACACAAGCATAGGACCAAGGCAGACACCGAACAAAGGGGTTTAGAGAGCGAAAGGTTCATCTGGGAGCAGGACCGGTTATACAAGATAACCAAAACACACATTAGAGGGACAGCCCCATCCCAGAAGCACCAGCTTGTAGTTCCAAGGAAGTACAGGTTGGAACTTCTCCAGATTGGGCACAATGTACCTTTAGCGGGGCATCTGGGCATGTGCCTGACATCTCATAGAGTGACCAAGAACTTCTTTTGGCCAGGGATCTCTAGGGATGTTCGGCTGTGCTGCCAAACTTGTGATATTTGTCAGTGAGTAGGTAAGAGCAGGGACCACCACAAAGCTTGGCTGATCTTTGCCAAATATTGAGGAGCCCTTCAGTCGTGTAGTGGTGTACATATTAGGACCCCTAGATAGGCCCAGTTCCTTCCGTTAAGAGATACACACTTACCAGAAGCCGTTGCACTCGCGAATATTTAGTCAGAGACGGTAGCAGATGCTCTGGTCCGAATATTTTCTAGGGTGGGTTTCCCCAAAGAGATCCTCTCAGACCAGGGTACCCAATTCACAGCCAACATTACCCACCAGTTATGGAAGGTATGTGGGATAAAACCCATACAAAGTTCCCCCTATCATCCCCAGACTAACGGTCTATGCATGCGACAGAAAGTATGGTACAATAGTGGTGCCCGACAGCGTAATTTTCGTGTGGGACATAAGGTGCTTGTATTAAAGTATGTCCGACAAGATAAATTGCAAGCGGCGTGGCAGGGCTGCTACAAAATGGTAGAACGACCCTGCTATACCACTTATGTGGTAGCCAGCTGCGCCGATGAGAGGATACAGCGCTCCTTCCACATTAATATGCTGAAGGAGTACCAGGAAAGGTAGGAAGATTGTAGCTGCTGTATGTGCCCCAGCTGCTGACGACCCTGACAATCTACCCCTACCCAATTTCTTAGAGAGTCCTCAAACCGATCTCTTCAGTCAAGTATACTTAGGGGACCGTTTAACTAGACTAGAAACCCACCAAGCCCATCAGTTACTGGAGAGCATGCAACTGACTTTTTTCCAGGAACCCAGATACACCACTTTGGTCATACAAAAAGTGAAAACCCCAGGTCAAGCCCCACTTAGACAAACTACCTACTGTATACCTGAAGCAGTCCTAGAAGGAATGCGTTAGAAAAATACAGGAAATATTGTGCTTAAGAGTCATTGAGACATCTGACAGCCCATGACAGTACTGAAGCAGGATGGAACTACTCAGTTCTGCATGGACTACAGGCGACTAAACAATCGGATCATTACCGACGCTTACCCTATACCCAGAGTAGATGAACGTTTGGATAGCATAGCCAGGGGACACTATCTGACCACCATAGACCGGGCCCAAGGAGGCTATCCCCAATTGGCCTTCGTCATCCCACTTGGTGTGTACCAGCCCCTGCTAACCTGTCGGCTACGATCTCGGAAGTGCTTCTGTTTACTTCCGGTTCACAGGAACCTGACGTCATTTTCCCGCCTGCCGGCAGTCCGTTTCAAAGTTTCTGTTCTAAACTAAGTTCGCGAGTTTAACAAGGAAGCCAGCATACGAACGGCTAACGGCTAAGTTATACTCTTATCATTCGAACGCACCCCTACACGTATCATTAATCACTTGTTCGTCTAAACATTTCGGTTTGACTATAACGCTTACAATAACCATTCATTCACATACCGCTACTCTTTGTGTAATCTGGCGTTTGTTTAAACTTTCTTCTGTTTCCTTACACACTCCATTCATACATTGTCAGAAATACGTTTGCCTAAAAATCTTATATTTAACCATTCGTATATATATATATATATATATTTGCCGTTCCTGTAAAACACACTTTCGTATATATATATATATATATATATATATATATATCTTTCATTTTTATTTTGTGTAAACTTCCATTTACTTTCGTATTAACTTTCGTTTACTAAACTTTGGTTTATTTGCCATGCTGGCAATTCACTCATACAGATCAGCAGAAGTTCAATTCGTTTAAACAGAGTTGTTAAACATTGTTCATTCATTTTAAACAGCATTTCATGTTAAAATTTGTATGGTTACTATATCTTTCATTAAACGTCCTTTCCACTTTATTCATGTCAAATTAAACGAACGGCGCAATATCCTTAAACAGAATGTAAATTAATGGCAGTTAAGTTCATACATTCACTAAAGTACTTTTTCTTAAAGCCATAGCTAATGCTATACAGTATAGAAATTAAACAACAATTAAGCATGTTTATTTTTCCTCCTGTTTAAAGATCATAGAATTACTGACATTGCTTGCAACAGTGCCTTCTTGGTTAAATACAACCACATTATTTAAAGAGGTAGGCCTCTAAATTACCTACCAACTTATAATTTTATGTATTTCTTTCTGATAAACAAGTACCATAAATAAATAAGACATGTTTTTCCCACATTAGTTCAAGTTATCGCCCTACCAGGACAAGCCAAATCTTCCTAACATAAGTCAAGATATACGGTTAGTATCTGCTCTAATGCTTAAAGGTGCAATATCAATGGTCTTCACCTGGGGGTTAGATGGTAACTTAATTATTATGACATGTTTTAGGATCAAGTA